TGGACTAACATTGGCCCTGATGTCTGCAGCTCTGACTTGTGACTATTACCAGTGCCTTTGCCTTTGACGTTGATTTCCTTCCTTCCTTCCTTCCTTCCTTCCTTCCTTCCTTCCTTCCTTCCTTCCTTCCTTCCTTCCTTCCTTCCTTCCTTAGTTTTTCAAGACAAGATTTCTCAGTAGCTATGGAGCAACTCCTGGAACTCACTCTGTAGACCAGGCTGCTCTGGAAATCACAGAGATCCGACAATGCTCCATCACCAACAGGTTGACCTTGACTTTCAGGCCCTCCTCACCTTCATGCTCTTCTTGCTCCTTGGGCTGATTCTGCCTGTGTGTGGGCACCTCTTTTCTGCTGCCCTTTTGAAGGAAGGCCAATCTGAGGAGGCACCAGGGCCATGCCTCAGCACACAAAAACATCAATAGCTTCAGGAAAGGCATTCCCCAAAGTCTCTAATTCAGGCTTCTCCCTTTCAAATTCCATTTCTAAGCCAGTTACTCCCAAAGCACATGTTTATCCTAGAACTTCCTCCTTCATGTTTACAAATATACCTCACATTGAAAGTGACCAAAACCCAGAATATCCCCTCCAAACCCTGTGGTGGGAGCTGCTCCTCCCTTCTCTGCTGACAGCCCCTCCTGCCATGCCCAGCTCAGGCCTGAGTAACTCATCCTCTTTAGACTCCCAGTGGACAGAAAGCCCAGTTTTCTTTGCCTTCTGGGACCACCGACATGAGTGTCTTGGTTTCATTTATCTATTACCTTCTGTTGTCTCTCCCACACTGAATTCCTGCCACAGACCCTAAGGCATCCTTGCTTGCCAGCCTGGAAGTCAGAGCAGTCCACAGATGGCACGAGGTCCTGACACCCCTAAACCCTAACAAGGACACTGTCTTTGGAAACAGGAGAGTCCTCGAGAAGGAGCTCCTGAGTCCCATGGCCTGTCCCTTGCTCCTTTGCATTGCTGTCCCTCCCTGGCCACAGGCACTCTCCTGCATCTGTACCTTTGCCCTCCCTCTTCCTTCTCCCCTCACATCTCTGGTTGGCTAATTCTTCAACTTTGCTCAACTCCCACATTCTTGTGAAAGTATTAGGAAGTCCATTTAGGCCCCACAGCCCAAGTTCAAATTGCACCCATACCCCTCTACCATACAGTTAAAGCTCTTTAAGCTTGCTGTATCCTTTCTGGGTTTTTCCCCTCTTGTTCTTCCAAGGGTAAGATGACTAAAACTGCTGTATTTCTTCAAGCACTAAAAAACAAAATCATCTTAGGGGATGCACAGCAATTTGTCTAGCATGCCTGAAGCCTTGGCTTCTGTCCCTAGAACTGCAAATATACTAATCAAGCAAGGGCTGTGGTGTGACTTTGGAAGTCACTAGTCTAGCAAACATTCCTGCCTAAAACAATGGAGTTAGATTTCCAGTACCATAATAGGGATAGGCATGGCATCATAGAATAAAATTACCAATTTCATTCATTAATTGAAGGTTTTATGAAGCTTAGAAATTTGTTAGCAGGTCAATGCTTACAGAGTGATTCCATAGGTAATCCAGCAACTCGGTTTCATCCTTAACACTCAAATCAACATTTTCTCCTTGTTTAAATACATCGAGATTCCTCTCCAGTGGTCATATGACCCTCATCAGCTCCTTGGACTTTCCCATCTACCTGGGAGAATAAAATTCCCACAGCAAAATGAGCAAAGCTCCTGAGCTGCTGATTCTTTCCTGGTTGTGTTGTCATAGTGATCTTCTGACTAGACTGTTCCCAGGCTTGCTTTCCTCTCACCTCAGAGATTTCTGCTCTCCAGGGAGGGTTTGTACTGTGTTAAGGCCTCTGTCCACATATTGGACTGGTCAGCAAACCACCCAGGCCAGGTTATAAACATAACCAATCACTGAGGTGAATAGTTTCATAGCATCACAGTCACACCCACTCTTGCTATGTTGTTAGCAGTGATTTTCAAACTGACAAGAAGGGTGTTTTCTCCTGAACATGGTGTTTTTTGGTTCCTTAACTTAACTGTCTGGCCCTCTATAGGAAAGGGACTTTGACAGGCAGTGAGATTGCTCAGTGGGAAAAAGTGCCTACTAATAAGCTTGATGACCTGAATTCAATCCCTGGGCCCACATGGAGGAAGCAGAGAACAGGCTCCTCTCATCCATCCACATTTGCGACATCACACAAATAAATGAATAAATATATGTATAGAATTTAAGGGGTTGCTCTGCATCTGCCATTTCCTTACACATTGTAGGAACACTACTGTTTTTTCTTCATTTCAAGGTAAACAAACACTGCGTTAAGGGATTATTCTGTAATCCACATAAAGAATGGTTTTCAGAGCAGTATTTCCTTGTTGCTGAGCTATTATTTTGCAGTTAACACAGGTAAGATTGAGGTTACATCTCTGCCGACACTGACAGTATGATTCCTGGCACTATTTTGCCTTAGGTCCTGTCTAGGAACATAACACACTAAGACCTGTTTGGATGCTTACAGACCCTTAGATGCTGTTGATTTGTGAATTGCAGCTTCAACCTGAATAATCTAAAAATCTTACTTCTTCAGAGATTCAAAATCAAGAAACTTATAAGCATGGACTTGGTAAAGCACCTGGAAAATTCAACACCATGAAATTATCACATGCAGAATTATCAAAAGTTTATAAACTTTCCATTAACATATATACATAAATTGCAGGCATATGAATGCTACATCAACCATATTCATGCTTGAGGATCATTTATAAGACAGTATCTATGTGCAAATGTTCTGAATTGTTAAGAAAGATTAAATTTCTGACACCAAACATTTTTGGATGAGGGGCATTCACATTGTCTGTCTGTCATAGATAGGAAGAAACCATAAAAGACAATATCCAGTCTCTACCCAAATGTTCAAAACCCATTTGTGTTGGGGCTTGTGTAGGATCTGCATGCTAAGATGCAGGCTAGATGGTGTGTATGTCCTCTTGGGACACACTTTAGTGAACATGCAGGGTCTGGAAATTGAGTATGAAGTGAGTCACCAGTGAGAGTAATCACAGGCCCCCACACCCTCTCAGTGTCTCACAGATGCTTACAGATCTGAGGACCTGACAGATGTCATTTATAAAGTGTCCTTAGGAGCACAGGCTCTGTTCTCATCTCCATGTCATCAGTGCAGCTGCCTGCGATTGGTGAATTGTCCCCACAGCCCTACCCTGCCCTGTCCTACTTGGTAAATGACAAAGGACAGAAGTTCAGGAGATGAGCCTTTCTGGGGACAGCCTCTCACTGATGCTACAACAGAAACTCTTGTCCCTTCTTGTTGACTCATCCTTGTTTCATCTTGATTTCCAAATCCAGAAATTCCAACAAGTCCTCCAACAAGTCCCACAACAACAGGAAAACCCACAACAACAGGAAGATTCACAACAGGAAGACCCACAACTACAGTGAAACCCATGACAATGTCAACAAGACCCACACTTCTATCAATATCACCCAGAGTCTCTACCTCGAATCCTACAACACCAGCACAAACAGAGACTCACACACCAGGTAAAAGCCAAAGTGGTCCAGGACCCAGAGTCCCTCTTATCAGTGGCTGTAAGACACACAGACACTGAGGAAAATCAGAAGTATATATGGGTGAAAAGTTCTTACCTTGGTCCCAACAACAGCTTCACAAAGACTGTAATTTTCCAGTCTTAAGATACATTCACCTTCTCCTGTGTAAGAACTTGAAGATACAGAGACACCATCTCTCTGTATCAGATTACCAGGGGATTCACTAACTAGCTAGACTTAGGTGGATCATTATCTAGGATAGCTGATGAGGATGGAGGCACTCTGGATCAGCTTGGCATGACTTTTGGTGAGAAACTAAGGACTGACTGAAAATTAAGGTCAGGGTAGGGAGACCCTTGACCCTTTGCATCATTCTGAAATTGGTCCATACAGCTGAGGCCATGGTCCAGTGAAGCTAGCATTTACACTTTCCTGTACATCAGGACACATGCCCCATGCTTTATGATGCAGAGATTATATCTCAGATAATTATGTCCTATATAACTGTGGTCTGTCTCTATTTTATAGTGACAGGAACTGACACAGTCAGAAAGTTCATGGTAGCACCTTGACTTACAGTTGGCGAAAAGTTTGTCATTCCAAAGGTCATTTTAGATCCAAACCTTCTACATCTAAGAGTTAAGAGATAGCTGTTAGAGATGCTCTCAAAGCTTCTTAAACTTTGTCCACCCCCTGGGGTAGGGCTGGATTCTGACAAGAGAAAGGGCCACATAGCTTCTTTTGTTGTTAGGGTAATCTGATGGGGGATATTTATTTTTTTCCCCTCTTGATGGCCTCTGGTAATTTCAAGCAGGAGAACCCTGAATGACTGGGCTGCTCACCAAATTTGCAGAGGCCTCTAGGTTATAACTAGTCTTGGAAGCATAGGATTTGTGAGAAAAACCACTTTGTCTCAGGTAGCTGCACACACTGAAGAAATGCAAGGATCTCTCAGGGTTAACAGAACTTTTCAATACTTAATTTCAGCCTTTGTCAGGGCATGGGCTCAAGGAGTGAGGACCTATAGTATTTCCATCATTGCATGGGCACAGTGAGTACTTTGCAAGCTGAGATGTCTGTCATTTGCTAAAACTGGAAACATGGAGTCATGTAGTGTCTGCTACTTCATCTGTTATATGCAGTGAAGGGCTCCTTGTCAGGACGGTCACAACCCTTACATATGTCTGATATCAGCAGAAAGAGGATTCTGTGTTTCATTTGCAGACAATAGACAGAGTGAAACAATAGATCCCTTGCTATAAAATAGACATTTCAAATAAACTTTGAATATATAAATGTTCAAAACTTGCTCTTCAGTGAATCTCCTGTCTTACTAAATCCTACCCTCACATGGTGTAAGACACATTGACTTTGTGGGTGACTTTTACACATGCGGAAAACAATCTAAACTTTTGTGTTCATAATTAATTTTTCCTCTTGTTGAACAGATTGGAATAACACTGTGACAGACTGGAATAACACTGTGACATCCTCCAACAACTCTTGGAATAATTACACTGTAAGTATATTCTTCCCCAATCAGACATGCTCAGTTGTGTATCTTCTATGATACAATTTCTAGATAAAGATGTCCGTAAAATTAGCTCACAGGTATTTGTTTTAAAAAAAAGAAAGAATCAGGCCTGGCGTTGGTGGCACATGCCTTTAATACCAGCACCCGGGAGGCAGAGGCAGGTGGATCTCTGTGAGTTCGAGACCTGTCTGGTCTACAAGAGCTAGTTGCAGGACAGCCTCCAAAGCTACAGAGAAACTCTGTCTCGGGGGAAAAAAAAAAGGCAGATATAATGGTATATTCCTGATTCTCAGGACTCAGGAATTTAATACAAAATATCAGAAATTTGAGGTCAGCCTGGACCATTAGGCAATGTGGGCTATATAGTGACACCCTGTCTCAAAAACTGTAAATAAATTAGTAAATATATAGAAATAAAGAAATTAAGAGTTTGACCTTTGGCCTGGAGAGATGGCTCAGAGGTTAAGAGCACTGGCTGCTCTTCTAGAGGTCATGACTTCAATTCCCAGCAACCACAGGGTGGCTCTCAACCATCTAAAATAAGATCTGGTGCCCTCTTCTGGTGTGCAGGCAAACATGCAGGTAGAACATTATATGTAACAAATAAGATCGTTTACAAATAAAATAAGGAGTCTGATGTTTACAGAAGACATTTGAATTCAAGATGTTCATTCGCATTCCCATTGAGCATTCTCTGAAGAGCACACAGGTGATATTTTGTTTCCCACACACAAAGCACCACAGAAGGTGATTAAAGCAGACAAAATCTCACACATGATGATGAGTCCACATTAAGTATCTGGTTAGATGATTGACTGAGGTAGCTACCCATGTAGTCACCTTAACTATACTATATCATGTTTCTCCCATGGTCACAGCCACTGATTTTTACATTGTCTTGGAGTTCTGCTGCCTTTACCACCTCAGATCCTTGGTCTTCCTGCATATTCCACACTAGCCACAGGCCAGTAAAGATGAAGCTCCAGGACTAGAGTCTAGGTTAGGGTCCAGCATGTTTTCTGTTCCTCTCACTTGGTGCCCCTTGTGTTTACTGCTGTTTCCTTATTGCCACTGTTGTTTTCTTCATTGTTTCCTTAGGAATCCATCCCTTTACTGAATCCACAGGAGAAAATGAATAAGGGCTTCACTCTTGGCACCACCATTGCTGCCCTGATGCTGCTGCTGTTTCTGTGTGCCCTGGCTTTCATGGGTAAGTAATTTCACAACTGTCCCCAAAGAAGGATACCCAGGTTTCTCTGACTGTCTTTAAGCAAGTACACACGCCACGGGGGCTTTTAGTTCACATGTCTTCCCTATCTCCAGAGCCAAGACACACATGGTAAGCCATCTGCTCCCCAAGGGATGTGTTACGACCCACAGAACTCTGTGGCTGACTTCTGGTATTTGATGAGTGTTCTGCTCAGTGAACTTACACCATTGCTACTATGTCTGCAAATATTCCTAATCTGTAAATCTCAAGGAGCTTAAATACTACTGGAATTTTTCAGCTAAACAATTTACTTATTTATTCATCCATACATTTTGTATCCTGACCCTGACTCCAGTTTCCCCTCCCTCATGACCCCTATTCCCTCCCCATGCTACCCATCTTCTACCCCTCCCTGCTGTTTCTATTTAGAAAGGTCAGGCTTCCTATGGATATCAACAAAGCACCCCATATCACACTGTGGGTTAATACAATTATTTTTGTTGGTTTAATTTTTGTGTCTTCATTTTGTTTTGCTTTTAGTTTCAGTTTTTGTTTTTGTGTTTTTTGCAGTATGATCATGTAGTTCAGGCTGGCATTGCACTTACTAGGTAGCTCAGGATGACCTTCTTCAGGATCCTCCTGCAACCAACATCCAAGTGCTGGACTTCCAGGAATAGCCTGCAGTGCTTTGAAACACTGGTTTCCTAACCCTCTCCTTTGTCTTTCAACTGTTTGTGTTAAAGAGGAAACATTCTATTTTCCATTAAAAATTTAATACCATGACACAAGAGATTTTTAGATTGGCTTCACAGTTTTAGGTCACTTTAAGACCTTTGATGTGTTCTCTCCTTTCCTACCATTGGTTACTCACTTGTTCCCACAGTCATACTGTGGAATGTGCTGGGAGGTACTTAGTGTAAGATGTAAATTAGACATTGGTGGGAAGCCACCTGCCAAATTCTGGGACAGAGTATTTGTGGGTGATGTCCAGACCTACATTGTCCTCTCCAATTGTACACTTGGTACATTCTTATGAAAAAGAAGTCAGGGTCTCTGAGGTAAACTGGAATGGATTGTGTTGATTGTTTTTGAACACATGGTCTCAATCTTGAGAATATCTCTCAATGTTCTTTTGCTTTTAAATCATGCTTTACTAATTGATTCACCAATTGGTTTGGTTCATTTGAAACAGGGTCTTATAAATCATTCTTTACTAATTGATTCATCAGCTGGTTGGTTGATTTCAATCAGGGTTCACTGTGTGGTGCAGACTGTCATGGAACCTGGTATGTAGCCCAGGCCAGGCTGAACTGACAATCCTCTTGCCTCAGACTCATTTACTCTGGGATAACTGCTGTGTTCCCCAATGCTTGGCTCCCATACTCTACTAAGTAAAGTTTAATGAGTACCTTTCTTGTTACCCTCACTTCTCAGAGATGCATTCTGCATTCTGCATTTATGCACAGGGACAGAAGACCTCTTCTTACGATAAATATTTCTGCCAAAAGCTGCCTGAACCCCACCGCCACGTGTTAATGAGTGTTCTGCTCAGTGAACTTACACCATTGCTACTATGTCTGCAAATATTCCTAATCTGTAAATCTCAAGGAGCTTAAATACTACTGGAATTTTTCAGCTAAACAATTTACTTATTTATTCATCCATACATTTTGTATCCTGACCCTGACTCCAGTTTCCCCTCCCTCATGACCCCTATTCCCTCCCCATGCTACCCATCTTCTACCCCTCCCTGCTGTTTCTATTTAGAAAGGTCAGGCTTCCTATGGATATCAACAAAGCACCCCATATCACACTGTGGGTTAATACAATTATTTTTGTTGGTTTAATTTTTGTGTCTTCATTTTGTTTTGCTTTTAGTTTCAGTTTTTGTTTTTGTGTTTTTTGCAGTATGATCATGTAGTTCAGGCTGGCATTGCACTTACTAGGTAGCTCAGGATGACCTTCTTCAGGATCCTCCTGCAACCAACATCCAAGTGCTGGACTTCCAGGAATAGCCTGCAGTGCTTTGAAACACTGGTTTCCTAACCCTCTCCTTTGTCTTTCAACTGTTTGTGTTAAAGAGGAAACATTCTATTTTCCATTAAAAATTTAATACCATGACACAAGAGATTTTTAGATTGGCTTCACAGTTTTAGGTCACTTTAAGACCTTTGATGTGTTCTCTCCTTTCCTACCATTGGTTACTCACTTGTTCCCACAGTCATACTGTGGAATGTGCTGGGAGGTACTTAGTGTAAGATGTAAATTAGACATTGGTGGGAAGCCACCTGCCAAATTCTGGGACAGAGTATTTGTGGGTGATGTCCAGACCTACATTGTCCTCTCCAATTGTACACTTGGTACATTCTTATGAAAAAGAAGTCAGGGTCTCTGAGGTAAACTGGAATGGATTGTGTTGATTGTTTTTGAACACATGGTCTCAATCTTGAGAATATCTCTCAATGTTCTTTTGCTTTTAAATCATGCTTTACTAATTGATTCACCAATTGGTTTGGTTCATTTGAAACAGGGTCTTATAAATCATTCTTTACTAATTGATTCATCAGCTGGTTGGTTGATTTCAATCAGGGTTCACTGTGTGGTGCAGACTGTCATGGAACCTGGTATGTAGCCCAGGCCAGGCTGAACTGACAATCCTCTTGCCTCAGACTCATTTACTCTGGGATAACTGCTGTGTTCCCCAATGCTTGGCTCCCATGCTCTACTAAGTAAAGTTTAATGAGTACCTTTCTTGTTACCCTCACTTCTCAGAGATGCATTCTGCATTCTGCATTTATGCACAGGGACAGAAGACCTCTTCTTACGATAAATATTTCTGCCAAAAGCTGCCTGAACCCCACCGCCACGTGTGAGCTTTATGCAAGCCGCCTGCCTGAGTTAGGGCCCAAATGAAAACACAGAAATTTGTATTAGGTTCAAAGCTGCTTGGCCAATGACTAGAATTCTCATCTGCTAGCTAGTCTTAATTATCATAAATCTATATATTTTATAAGACTTATCTTATCTGATGCCTTATTGGCGTCCCTCCTTGCCGACGGATCACATTGTGCTGCTGGAGCAGGAGCGGAGGGGAAAAGAGGCCCTTTCTGTTTCTCCTTCGCTTAAATATGAGTCTCCTTGCTATGTCACTTCCTGCCTGGATCACCACATCTCTACTACATTTCCCAGAATCCTCTTTGACTCCTAGTCCTGTCTAACTTGCTGTCTCATTGACCAAACAGTATTTTACTTAACAATCAATAAGATAAACATACACAGTACATTCCCCATCAACCTCTCTCATAAGTAGACACCGAGTTGTTAAGTTTGCTTTCTGGATCTGGTAATGAACCAGTTGCCTTGACCCACTCTTGTTTCACCAAGTGTTTTCTTTCACTGGGGACCTATTCTATTAAAAACTGAAGAAGTAAATCACAGAGCACATAAGCTAGTAAGAATATCCTTCGAGGGGCTTTTAGGGAAGTATGCTGGGGATGACAGGGTTAGGTGGTGAGCTATTTGAGGGAGCCTCAGATGAGCAGAAGATTTAGAGCGAGATGACTTCTTAGGTGCCAGGAGTGTAACAGAACTGTGGTCTAGCCAGTGTCTCCACACTGCACACCAGTCCACTTCACTCACTGCACTACATTGGCCTTCCGGCTTCAGAGTTTACTGTACTTAGGGAGCTCTGTTAGTCTCCCCAGTGTGAGTCCCCTGTATCTCCTCTTTTCCTAGTGGTTACAACTATCAATCTTTTTAATTTGTCTATAGATTGGCTGTATTCTGGGCCATTTCTTTCAATGAAAATCAATGTCCTTTAGGCTGCTATATATAGACTCACCTATGTGATAATAGGGAACTCTATCTATCTATCTATCTATCTATCTATCTATCTATCTGCAGGTTGGTAGCATTCCACATCTCTTAGATTGGAGCTTTATAGAAGACAGAAGTTGTGGGGCCTTGAGGTGAAGACAATGTCTACATAATTGAAGACAGTCTTTACCCTACACAATGAGTACCAGTGGCCCTCTGAGGGAACTTCTGCCTGATACTGGAAGAACAGCAACTGGATTTGACAGCACAACCACCCACAAACACCCTTTACAGCTCCAGGACTCTTTTCTGTGTGTATTCATCCAACAGTGGTGGAGTATACTCAGCTGTGTATACTCAAAGTCACTGTCTACATCAACCTATTTCTTACATCACCACTGTCTCAGTTACTCCACTCACTGCAGCACATTCTCTCAAATATGAGCATTTTAGACTTTATGTCAATAAAGTCATTGTTAACACAGGATACAGACTCTTGCCTTGGTTATTAAAACCACTAAGAGAGAAACAGAATTGAAAAGTTAGAGTGAGGGAGGATGGGAGGGGCAACCGGAATTAAGAAGTATTTCTCCATCATTTCATATTTTATTTATTTGATTGTATTTGGAAATGTCACTTTTCCTCACATCCACAAGGGGTAAGTCATGAAAACATGCAGGTGTTAATTCCCCTCGTAGATAAATAGATGGGACTCTAATGTCACCATTAGAGTTCGTTAAGTTTTCTCATAGATCTGGAAATATGATACATTATTATATGGATGATCATAAGGTAAGGATGGGTGTTTCATGTCAGGAAATGTTTCCATGTTGAGTATGGCACAGGTGTACATTACGGGAGGAAAATAGTGGACCAAGGGATTGAGTTCATTAGTGTTACATCCACTGCAGTCTGACATGAAGCTCAGTGTTCTATTCTCACGGGCTGGGCTCTGAAATAGGTGCTAGGAGACAATGCAGAAATGAAGGCAAAAGGAAGGAGCAGGACACAGGATTTCTGCTTGAGAGAAGTCCTATTTCAGGTGTGACAAATTTTGGACTACCACTTGGTCATTCAGAGTTCTAAATGTATAATTGTCTCCAGATCATATTTATATTTAAATTTATTTCAAAAGGACAAAGCATTTTTCATAGTGGATCAGTTTGTTACACTTAATGAAATAT